TTTAGAACTGTTACTTAACTCACTGCCCATTCTGACCGGTCGTCCACACTTAGGTCAATTATATTTTCGTAGGATGTGAATGTCTAGTGTCCCTTAATCCACATCGATACTTTTGTCCGAGGGTTATCGACACATTGCACATCCATTATCATTGGGCTAAGTACTAGTGACTGATGGATATGGAGGAAATACTTTGTCCAATTGCGAAACCTACAAAGTGTCATCGAATACATAGAGTGAAGCTGCAAATATGTTATCGGCGCGCTTTCAGTACACGGCTACTACACTATCATCTGACCAAGTGTTGGTAGTACGCAGTAACGACGACATGAAGTCGTTGTCAACTAGTGAAATCTACAATGTTTCATCTAATACTTGGAGCCCGGATACTCAAATGTTGGTAGCTTGTGCAGGCTATGCTGCTTCTTCATTATTATCAGAGAAAGTTTTAGTAATAGGAGGTGGTTATAATGAAGATTACTTGTCTAGTTGTGAGCTGTACAATTCATCGTCGAACACAGAGAGCTTGGCTGCAAATATGTCATCGCCTCGTGTTTACCACACCGCTTCTTTACTACCATCAGGAAAAGTATTAGTGGCTGGTGACTATGGGTTATCACTCGGTGAAGTATATGATCCTCTGTTCAATATGTGGAATCCAGTCATCCACATACTGGCAACAAATACGCTATAGGCAAACACTTTACTGTTTTCCGCATCATGTTAGTTGTAGATGATATATGTGTGTGTGCACGTACTACATATGAGATTTATCTCATTATCAAATGATAAATCTAGACTGTGTTAATCATACAATTGTGAAACGAGCACGCCGTCTTCTTTTCTATTTGATTTTGGGTGTGGGTTTGGAGATGCTCTTTATTTACATCCACACCCACATCCTAGTTTCATTTCTTTCAAAAGAATAGATTCATAGCTATGTAAATGTAAACAATCGAGTAATAGCTTTCTATGGAAGCTCCAGTAGCATATTATTATATCTTCTAAATAATGAAAAAGAAAGATTGAAAACTTTAAATTTAGAATGGATGAGATCCTCAACGCTGGAGTTATACTTTCTTGTAAAATGATTTTTTTTTCATTATTTGGAACATAAAATAAAGCGTTAAAAAAGATTTCACTACAAAGCTATTACTCGATTATTTACATTTATATAGCAAATGAATTTGTTCTTTGAAAAGAAATAAAATCACACCATTGTATAACTCCTGACTTTCTACGGATCTATATTACCTGGTTTCTGTTATTTATCGATAAACATTACATTTTGCTATTATTTGTAATATTAAGACAATGCGAATTATATCTATTCATCGCTAATTTTAATGTATTAAAATGCTTTTTCTAAATACTTGTATAATGAAGTTGAAATATGAGAACAAAGAACTCCGTTAAAATGCGATTTTCCAGACGTGTTTGATCATGCACAATGCATTGAATAAGAGAAAAGAAAGAATTGTTTTAACATGTTATTTTCATATTTCTGACTATGATCAGTCATTTGAGGAATAAGATATTAGCACTTTTTGTTATCGTGTACATGAATCTTAGTCATTAGTGTAATGGTTTTTGCCGTTAAACTATACTTCATGTACAATATTCTCTTCGCTCTCTATTCGTGTGTTCACAAACTGATCTTGTAACCTGCCATTCGTTGTTCTATTGCGAGATTGTTGCTTCTTTGTTTCTGTTGACTAATGCATGATCAATCTTTGCTATATAAGGAAATGTAGACGAAGAAAATTCACGACTAGAAATATGCAAATAACACATAATACAGCATCATATCGACAGGCA